CTATGCGCTACGCGTCGTAATGATTGGGATTGTAAAGGATTTGAATCAATATGTGAGAGTCTATCGGCACGTTTTATCAATTCAAATTGTAACTTGAATATTATTTTAGTTTATATACTACCAAATGATAACATATTAACCGATTGTATTTATGAATTCCGAAATAACTTTGAACGCTTTTACCTACTGGCACCCTCTGACCATTATCTTATAGATGGCGATTTTAACGTACCTTGTTTAAAATGGAGGTCCTCAGGATGGTCGACAAAACATTCTGGCCGAGCATTCAAAAAGCTGCCAGTGTTTTGGCCGAGAATTTATGTTTTTTTGACATGAATCAATATAATTTGCTCCCCAACCGTTGTAACAATATACTGGATCTATGTTTCTCAAACTTATGCTTGGAAATCAACCATTCTGACCCTTTGTCTAAAGTCGACACCTTACACCCACCTTTTACCATTGATATACAAGACATTTTTGTAAAACCATTTAAAGAATATTTTCACATAACACAATTTCCGAAAATGTAATTATGTTAACATAAATGACTTTTTAAAAAGAGTAGACTGGGATCAATTATTATTAAACACAAATACAGTCGACCAAGCCGTTGATATTTTTTATGAAAAACTCCACGAATGTTTTACTTTATTTGTACCACTATCTTCCCAAATTAGTAATCGTTACCCGTGTTGGTACAGCCTCGCACTTATTAAAATAATTCGTGAAAAATTTAATGCACACAAAAAATGGAAAAAATTTAACAACCCTCGTGATTATGAGGAGTTTAAGCTTCTCAGGGATAGACTACATAGAACAAAAAAATGTTTTGATGATTTTATTCGTAATACTGAGAAAAATTTAAAGAATTCGCCTAAGTATTTCTGGAAATTTGTTAAGTCTAAAAAGGGAAGATCTAATTATCCTCGTAATTTTACCCTAAATAACGTTATTTACACGGAGGGACAGGATATTTGCTCTGCCTTTAATGCCTTTTTTCAAAGTGTATTTACTGTTCCTCCTTTGACTGATTCTAGTTCACACTTTTTAATAATGTCTTTTCGTCATGGAGTGATGATATCTCTCAAATTGACGTTATCAGGATTTTATACTAACATGTCTGATAAACTTGGACACCTATAAGGGAGCGGGTTACGATGGAGTACCTCCAGTTTTTCTGTCAGCCTGGGCTGAGAGCCTTAGTTATCCAATTACGTTGCTCTTTAAGCTTTCCCTCAGAGAATGTGTGTTTCCCACACTTTGGAAAAAGGCATATATAATACCGGTTCATAAAAAAAGGTTCTAAAACAAAAATTGATAATTACCGTCCAATTTCTATTCTCAGTACAATTGCTAAAATATTTGAGAGACTTATTTTTAATAAAATTTATGCTACAATAATTAGACACATTCCGAGTACGCAACATGGTTTTCTGAAAAAGCGTTCTACTATTTCCAATCTTGCAAATTTCACTAATTACGTTCTTCATGAAATGGAAGGTGGAGGTCAAGTTGACATTTATTTTATGCTGATGATAAAAAATATATCTGCGTGTACGCACTATCAAGGACTGTGAACTAATTCAAAATGACTTAAATATATTATACCATTACTATGTCGCTAATAAAATCACGGTAAATGTTGGTAAGTGTCAGTGTATTTCATTTACGCGGGAAAATAATCCCATAGTTTTTTCATACAATTTCAATGGTGTTGTAATCGAAAGGACTACGGTGGTGCGCGATCTTGGCGTATATTTTGACTCCCGTATGTCAATGAATGAGCATATTGACGCTATTTGCAGTAAAGCGTTTCGTAATTTGGGATTTGTAGCTAGAACTTGTCTTCCTTTCTCTAATTTTCGAAGCCTAAAAGTAGTATATTTCGCATATGTAAGATCTATATTAGAGTACGCTTCTCAGATATGGTCACCATTTTATGCTAAATATGTTCATAAAATCGAAAGGATTCAAAATAAGTTCGTTTCCCATTTAGATTTTAAAATCTGTTAATGCTTGAAGAAAGACGTATTCTGCTGGATATTGTGCTTTTATTCGATACATTACACGGAGGAATTGACTGCCCTGACTTATTGGCTTTCATTAAATTTAATGTCCCATTGAAACGTACCAGACATACCAGAAACTCTTTGTTTTACATCCCCTTTCACCCAACCAATTATGGGAAAAACAATGTTCTAACGCATTTAGTAGCAACTTACGACAAAAAATTTTGCGCAATTGAACCTTTTAATAATACTAAAAGTGGATTTAAAAATAAAATTAACAAGTTTTTATTCTATCCAGCTGAAGGTAATCAGTAAATTGTAATTAAAATAGTACTCAAATTAATATTTGTGCCCTCGTTTAATACTGTCATTACGTATGTATATGTATGTATGTGTGTACTTATGTATATATATGTAATATGTATGTGTATGTATGTGGGTATATACTACTTCAATTAATATGTTACTGTTTAGTAATAGTTCTTACCGATTTTATTTTGTATTGTATTAGATTTACAGTTTTATGTTTGGTTATCTACTTTGGGGATAACTATAATTGGCTTTTTCATGTTTAATAATTTAAGTAATATTGTTTAGGTATTAATAAGCTGTTGTTATCCTGAATAAATAAATAAATAATTAAATAAACACAAGACAACAAATTCTATTCTCTCTATTATAAACAGTTTCCGTAGGCCAAGGATTCGACCTTATAATATAAATACATGACACTATTGTGTATTCAAAATTGCTAGTTTGATCCTCGTATTGAATTTATTTGTTATTTTTCATTTTCAAGACTATAAGATGGTAAGTTACTGCTTTCCACTCAAAAAAAAATTTCGGAGAATTCCAACTTCATCATCAATCATCTTAAAAAAATGGATGCTAAATCTGCTCCGGATTAAGGAAGAAATGTCTCATAATGTCTCATTTTTTAATTATAATGGCTTTGTGGTAGAAAATACCAAAGGTAGTAAGATATCTAGAAGGACTCCTAAATAGAAAATAAATGCTTTATCGTGGACTCTCGCTCTAATGAAAATTTGAAATTAATTCATCCCAACCGCGATTGAAACCTTAATCCGTTTGAGTCAATAAGGTATCTCTTCAGTTATAAACAATTTTATAATTTTATATTTGTTTTCTTTCGCCGTAAAGAAAGTGGACGAAAAAATTTCAGCGTTAATTCATATTGTATTTACCTAAGTTTCACGAACTTGTAAGTGATTCGTAGTGTCATGTGCCCTACGTACCTAAGGCTAAAGACAACTTAAGTTTAGATAACTTTGTGGACACCTGTTTCATTACTACATACTAATAGGTAAAAATAAGTAATGTATTGAATAAACGTTGATTTCTCTAATCGGGTATGGCTCATTTTCTGCCTTGATATCACTCCGTGCACGTTTCGTTTTCTTACCTATTCCTTCTGAAGCAGCGTTGCAGTAAAAGTGTAAGAGCAGAACTAATGCTTAATAAAAGTCGTTCGCAGATGGCCATACACGGCAGTAGAAAGTTACCACTGTTAACTTAATTATTGAATTTATATAATTAAGAAAGAACTAAAAAAATCACAAATGTACATGTAGTTTGGAGGCTGGAGTACTTGACTACTGTGTCAAGCGCCCAGGGTTGATATTTCGGCAACTACCACATATATTTTTTTTCCTTTCGCAACTTCTTTGAAGAATCGGCTAACACAAGTGATTTTTTCGGGCCGATACAATACGACTTAGGGACCTTCTGTTTTTTTAAGGTCCGCCAACGCACCTGCAATTCCCCTTGTATCACTGTAACAGTTCTTCATGGGTGGTAGTCGCTACTTACTAGCTTAGCACTAGAGAGCCGCATGCTCGTTTGCACCTCTTCTATATAAAAGATAGTTTTGTTTTCATGTTGTAAACATTAAAAAAAAGATTTGCGTATTTTTTACTACTTAGACTCAAAAAAGCGTGTATTACGTCATTATTAACTTTAAAATCATAACGTAGATATGCCTAAAGAGCTTTTGTATTAACAAGTTTGACATGCTGAAAGCCTCGAGATACTAAAAAATTACCAAGTACCTAGAATAAACCGTAAGGCCGAGAAGATAAACAAGTTTCCATAAGAAATTTTGCCTAGTAAAAAATTACTTTTATTTTTAAAACTAAGTAGTATTGCATCCGATGAGTTTTAAAAGTTGCTTGTCTCATCTGGGAATTAAACCGATCAATTAAAAAAAAACATTCTATATTGTTATGTCGATCAAAAGCATCATATATAGGGATGAAATTCAAAGATAAAATATTAATTTTGATTTCAAGGCTCACTGTGAAATTTTATATTCAAATTTAAAAAATAATAATTATAATGTCATTGTGCAATGTTCTACCTATTTTCCTGTCAATCTAAAATCTATGGCATGTATTATTGTTATCTACATCACTTTACTGAATAGAATTAGAAGTAAAGCAAAATAAAGTTTTAACATATATACGCCCCATTCTTCAATTAAACCTCCCTCATTTCTAAGGGCTCTTATACTCGTACATCCTAAGAAAAGTCGCCGTTTCTGCGGCAGAAAAGACCAATTCATCATGTAAACGATAAGATTGTTTTCGGGCAGTCGTGCGTAAGGTATAGTACACTTAGGGTTGCCACCCGTACTTTATAATAAAGTATTGTACGTTATTTCAGGTAATTGTACTCTATACTTTATGAGAACAATAAAGTACACGAAAATACTTTATTTCGTATGAAGAGAAAGTGCTTTTTCGTTAAACGAAATTTTTCGATTGGTGTTGAATGGATTTCGCCACTCGACAGCGCCACATCACTTAACCACTCGTTTTTAACAATTTCTGAACGCAACCTAACCTCAAATGTCAACAATGTCAGTGTCATTGTCATAATGTTTTTTTTGTGCATCGTTTTGTGCGAAGCGGTTTAGTGCATTAAGAATACGATTTAAAGTTTTACAGATTCATGTTATAGTAGTACATCATGAATACTCCACATACACCTATAAAACGTAATTTTAATAGTGAAACGGATCAAATAGATAGTGAATATGTTACACCAAAAAAATGTTTAAAAACAAAAGATACGACAAAACAGAAAAATAAACGAATGCAGAAGTATAAAAGTCAGTGGGAAATCGAACATGGTGATTGGTTAATTAATGATCCACAAAACGAATATAATGGAAAATGCAAATTGTGTGGAATTACATTTACAATTGCTTCAGCAGGTATAGGACAAGTAAGAAAAAAAAACTTATTTTTCAGTGTGTGTGTGTGTGTGTGTTGGTATGGTTGCATTAAATATGCAAACTATAGGTACTATGCTATAAAATGATTAGATTTTATTTAAGATAAATGTGCACTTTTTCCCAATAACTTTGAAAGTATAATTATTTTATGGTGACTGGAGGTGATGGGTAAGGTGACGGGATTAATCTTATTATTTTCAGGTTAAACAACACCTGCAAACAAAACAACTCAAATCAAAATATGAAACTAGGAGAACATCTGGACTACTTGAGAAATTCCTTGACTCTTCTTCTGCTTCCACATCGTCTAGATGCAGTGATAAAGAAAATGTTGTTGCATCTGAGTTAGCCCTGACATATCACACAGTAAAACATAATTTGTCTTACAATAGCATGGATTGTACTATAAAATTGAATAAAATTATTTATGCCAATTCACCTACAGCTAATGCAATTCATCTAGCTAGAACAAAAATGGAAGCACTAGTTACAGAAGTGTTGGGCCTATATTCTTTACAAAATGTAATAGATGCTGTTAATACAGATAATTTGTTTTACTGTTTACAAACAGATGCTTCTAACAAGAAAAATATAAGACTCTTTCCATTAGTGATACAATATTTTACAGCCAAAAATGGCATTGAAAACAAATTAATAGATTTTTATGAAAATAGTAATGAATCTGCTGATGGTATGTTTGAAGCAATTCAAAAGTCATTAGAGCAATACAAATTATCTTTTCATAATGTATCTGGGTAAAGTGCAGATAATACAAATGCAAATTTTGGTGTTAATCATTCTTTATTCACCAATATGAATAATTTGGTACCAGGTTTGATTAAAGGAAATTGTCACGCACATATAGTGCATAATTGCGTCAGACATGCCATGAGCTTTTTATCACATGACATAAGAAATGTTATTTTAAAAATTTATGCTCATTTTTCACATTCTGCTGTAAGAAGAGAGGAGCTAAAAAAATTTGTAGCATCAGTAGATGGAGACTTTCACGAAATCAAACGCCATGTGGGAACAAGATGGCTCTCTCTTTTGCCATGTATTGATACTTTATTATTAAATTGGTCACCTATAAGAAGCTACTTTTTAAGTTTAGACTACTGTCCAATGGTTTTACAAAATTTATTGATGCTCAATGAAACTGAGAATGATGTGATTGAAATTTATTTGCATTTTTGTAGTCACTTATTAAATTTATTTAATATTTTATAAAATAAATAATGTTAAATGTCTAGAAGGCAACAGCATAACAATTTTAGACATTTATGGGATTATGGATAATCTTAGAAACGGATTAACACAAAGAAAACAAGATCTTTTCTTTGGCTATGAAACAGGCAAAAAAATTAAACTGACTTCACCGGAACTGACTAGAAAAATTCACACGAATTTTTTATTATTTGTTGACAAAGCCTTAGAGTATCTGAATAAATGGTTTGATTTCAATAACACAAACTGGTTATTTACACTTGGATATACAAATTTAAAGAGCAAAATTGAATTTAATAATATTGTTAACATAATTGAAAATTTAAATCTTCAAAAACTTAATGTAGATATGGACGATCTATATGGAGAAATTGCTTTACTAAACCAAGTTTATAATCAGATAAGTACTTCTAAGAGTTTTGCAGAACTATCTACTGCACAAAAATGGCAGCAAGTATTTAAGAGTGATGATAATTTTTTAAACTTGTATAAAGTAATTTCATTTTTATTGTCTATTCCCGCCACGTCAGCATTCACAGAAAGAGTTTTTTCTGTGATGAACAGCAAATGGCGAGACGAAAGAAATAAAGCGTCTCTAAATTTGATAAAAAATGAATTACTTATTTACTTTAATTTAAATTTAGATTGTAAAAATGCTGTGCAATTTTTTAGTGAAGATAGTAATTTGATACAAACTGCAAAAAGCAATAAAAAATATGTTTTTAAATATAATAATAAAGAAAAATAAATTGTACTTTATTTTGAATCTATGTACTTTTTTTTTCTTACCTTTAATAACCAATGTACTTTAATTGCAAAAAAAAGATGGCAACCCTAAGTACACTAGTCAAGTTTGATTGTAATGAATAGAATCATGTTAACTACGAAGCAAAAAATGAGTATTGCATATTATTTATATAAAAAAATTAAAAAGTACGTAAACATGTCCACATATGTACAAAAAAACTCAATTTATCTGACGCAACTCACCTACTCCGCCCCTCCCTTCACCGCAACAACACAGAGCTGGTCTTGTCTAGCGCAGACAAGATTTTTTTTCTTGTTCAGCGCCTGAACATTCTACACAGTTCGTGTGTAGAAACGACCGTATTCTTGCGTAGACCCGGCGCGGCGACTTTTCTTAGCGTGTAGAAGAGCCCTAAGAGTTTAACTAATTATTCAGATTTTACCTCGTTTTATTCTAAATTCCTCATTTTAACACCCATTACTGCTATAGCTACTCTTTTAACAAATTTGAAATACTTTCTTTGGTCCGATATACGCATAACGAGCTTACATTACCTTGATACATTACCTTGATGACACTTTTTAAAAAATGCCATCTTCCATTGAGTTATAATGTACTACGTACTAGAGTACACGCCTCAACTCGAATGTTTGTAACACGCGTTAGAGCGCACGCACTCCAACTCACTTAGTCTGTGTCAAGCGGTTGCCGCAACGTGAGACGTTTGAGTGAAGAATTGTTTTTAAAATAATATGCCTTCGTGTGCATTGAGATATTGTTCAAACAACTCGAGAAACATAAGTAAATGTCAAGGAGTGACTTTTCACCAGTAAGTTCAATATATTATCTTTAAAATACGCTTAATTTAATTATATTTTATCAATTGTAACATATACGTGAATGTCAAAGAGTAAAACATTTTTATGCACAGACTTGACACTATCGACGTATAATGTTAAATAATTATGGACAGTAAAATATTGATATATATATAAATATATATATATATATATATATATATATATATATATATATATATATAATCACGGTAGGAAATGTTAATGCATTAAAATTAATATTTTTTTATTTGGATTTAAAGGTTTCGTCGGCCGTGTCATGACACAAGAGAATCATGGATAAAATTTGTTCAGAAGAATCGCAGCGAAGAAACGTGGTTACCGTCAGATTATTCACGCATATGTTCCGTGCATTTCAAAGAAAACGACAAATATACCACAAAAACAGGAAGAGTATACTTAAAGAAATCTGCAGTACCATGTGATAATGTAATTATATTATTATATAACATTGCTGGAATTTTTGTGATATTTTGTGAATTAGACGACGAACGATGTTTTTGTAATATTCAGGATATTTACGGGACTTAAGAGGGGCGGAATCCGCGGCGCGCGAGTTATACTATGACTATGACATAATATGACTCGCGTATATGGCGGTTTTTACGAAACGGTATACCGTGCAAATGGTTTGCACAATTGCTTAATTTGCTTTTATTTTAATATAAATAAATATATTTGTATATAAAAGTAATACTAATAAATGAAATTTTGATGATTTTTGATATTAAATATATATTTTTATATTTCACATATTTACCTATTAAAATATTAAATAAAATACCCTTAAAATGTAATTCTGACATAATATTATGTAATATTATATTAAATTAGCACATATACAAAATAAAAAAACAATTTAAAAAATTGTACTCGATATAATTAACAATACAATCTAAATAAACAATTATTACATACTGACCATTCTAATTACTGTTATATCCCTTTTTACAAGACAACAAAATATTAGTAAGCATTTATTTAATCACACGGTACTTCTCCTTAATATAGCTATAGTCAGCAATTATATTGTTATATATTGTTTCTTTCCATTTTTAATGTTCAGTTAGACTCAGAGCCCCGGGTAGATCGGACATAGATTCCGAGACTTATTAGAGTTCGGAAGTCAAGGACTATATTAATTTGGTGTGAACTTTTTTTTTGCAATAAACCTTTAGGTTTATTTGGTGTTTCTTTTTTTAAAAAGTCAAACGGGATCGGCCTCCTAACAAATTGGTGTCAGAAGTGGGATGCCAAACAGAAGGTCATAAAAGACTTTGGCATCCGAATCCGAGGTCCCCGAAATCACCAAGGTCGACATTAAGCCTTAGCCGTGCCTAAGCCTGCGCCTACCACAATTTGGACGACGATCAGCCTCCGCTCTGAAGCGTCAGCCCGCTCCATTCACATCTGGTCCTGAAATCACCCGTCTGGCCGACGATCAGCCTCCACCAGGAGCCCGCACCAGCTGGGTCTAACTCACCAACATAAAAACATTTTCTGAAGAATATTCTACATCTTTCATTCCTACCATTTCCCACGACGCGACGAAGTCACCGTGTCAGCGATTCCGCCCGCCAGCCGCCACGAGTGTAACGTGTCACCGAGCCATTGTTACGAGTAAATGCAACGTATAGAAGTTATTATTTTCCTGTAAGTCGTTTTGTTTTGTAAATTAAATTTATAAAATTTACCTTTATTTTACACTGTTTTGTACTATAACCTTTTTTACTTCATTTTATTGTGATTATCTTATATAACTTCAAATTTTAATTTTATTTCTATGTCGCTTAAAGCAGAAAAAAAGTAAAGACAATATGTCAGAAAAAATCACACTTTCGTTTTTGACGAAATTTATAAAATCTTATAATGGGGAGAAGGAATCTCTCCCCGCTTTTCTTACCAACTGTGATAATGCAATGTCGTTAGCTACGGCAGAACAACAGCCTATTTTGTGCAAATTTATTATCTCACAGCTAGAGGGAAAAGCTCAGGTCGCATGTAGTTTAAAAAGTTTTGAAACGTGGAACCAAATAAAGTCATTTCTTCGTTCTACTTTTGGGGAGAAAAAACACTCAACACATTTATTATCAGATTTGCAAAATTGCAAACAGTCTTCCGACGACGTTACTAAATTTTCTTTAAGATTAGAACAAATTTTAACAAAAATTCAGTCAGATATACACTATAGCTGCAAAATTCCTGACGAACTTCCAGGTAGAATAGCCGCCATGGAGGACCTAGCATTAAACACATTTTTATTAGGGTTAAACCCTGCTATTTCTACTATTGTTAGGTGTAGAAATCCTCAAACTTTAAACGAAGCTGTTCAATTAGCCATAGATGAAGAAAAATTACAGAATCTTCAAATGTGTTCAAAAAATTCAATGAAGCAGTGTAATATATGTAATAAAGTAGGTCATGTCGCTACGCAATGTTTCAAAAATAAGAACCATTCTAATTTTAAACACAATAAACAAATTTCTCATTTATCTAGTTCTAATTCTGATAAATTAATTTGCAACTATTGCAAAAACATAGGGCACACTATTGATCAATGTAGAAAGCGACAATATAATATGCAACATCGTCAAAATTTTAGTAAAAATTTTAATCGTAACCCTAATACTAGTTCTAACTATATAAATCGTAGCTCAAATAATAATTCTAATTTTGTAAGCCGTAACCCTAACCCTAATTCTAGTTCTAACTCTGTGCCTATGCACATGACATGTAATAACGACGACACTATCGATAATTCTAACTCTTTAAACTAAATAAGATTTCGGATACGTGTCTGCCGAAATCGTACTGTGGTAATGACATGAAAACAATTAATAATACTATTTCTACTAACTTTTACAAAAATAATGCTAAATCTTATTCTAATTCTAATTCATCTCGGCGATGCATTAACAAGCAACCGA